AACATTGTTTTTTTTTTTTTGTTAGGTTAACTCTTTTAGTAAAAATTTAATGTAATTTTTTTAATATTTTTTTTTTTGCTAATACGTTTTTGTTTTAGTACAAAATTGCGTAAAAATCAGGTTTAGTTCATTTAGTTCGCGCTTGGCTTTACGAAAAATAACGTTTAGTGTTTTTCCGGTTAATTTTTTTTTTTTAGTACCGAATCTCCAAACGTCATTTGACAATTTCTTCCCCAGATATTCTATATGCAAAAAAACATAAGATTTTAAACTGTACTAAAACTTGAAATGTCTTCAAAGACTTGCTTGTTGAATATTGTAAATATTTTGAATCTAAAATGAAGTTTGTTATTAAAATTTTCAGTTTTTATTTAATATTGTAACGGTTCAATGCTAGCAGAATTTATTTACTTCTGCGTTAACTAAAATAAAGTTGGTCTTTGTATGTGTGAAACTGGCATAGTACATACATGTGTATATATGTATATGCATATTTAAAAACAATATTCCTTGAGAAGAGATAACTTTTTGTAAATCTTCATACATACACACATATGTACATATGTATTTTTGTATTATTTTCGTTAACATACACTTATGTACATATGTAATTATTTTCAATTCAGCAAATCAATTGTTTACTTTGACCATTATTTCTACTTTAAATTGCTTCTTATGTGTTAAATAAATTTTTGTACAATGATACACATGTATGTATGTATATCTAGACTGTACCAAAATAAAAGAGTGCCAGATATAGATATTGACTGCCCATAAACGTGATAAAAATAGGTTCAAAGTTCAAAAATCTATATAATTTTAAGCAACCTTATTTTAAAACAAAAAAAAATAATTTTATTTTTTTAACTATTTCTTTTCAATTTTTGTCAAATAAATTCTTTATTCTTTCCAATAATTTTTTTATTCTTTCAAATAAAATTTCTTTTTATTCTTTCAAACAAAGATTTTTTTTAAATTAAAAAAAAAAAAAATATTTTTTTAATTTTTCTTTTAATTTTTTTTTTAACAAAATTTTTTTTTTTTTCAAATTATCTAATAAAAAAATATTTTTTAATTTTTTTTTTGCAAACAAAAAAATATTTTTTAATTTTTTTTTTTCAAATAAAAAAATATTTTTTAATTTTTTTTTTTTTTTCAAATAAAAAAATATTTTTTAATTTTTTTTTCAAATAAAAATATATTTTTTAGTTTTTCTTTTTTTCAAATAAAAACCTATTTTTAAATTCATTTTTTTTTTAATATTTTCTAAATTAAAAAATTTTTTTAAATATTTTCTTTATAATATTTTAAACAAAAAAAAATTTTTTTAAATTTTAAAAATGTTTGAAATTTATAAAATTAAAAGTTTTGAATAAAAAAATTGTAATTTTTTCAGATTAAAAATATTTTAGCTTTTTGACTTCCACTTGAAATTAAAAACATTGAAAATTTTTGTAAATTAACATTAATTGGTTCATTTTGAATAATTTTTTTATTATTAACGAACTTGAAAATTTTTGGAAAATTTAATTCAAAAGTTTCGATATTTTTAAAATTTAAAATTTTTGAAACTGACTAATAAACATAATAAAATTATATTCATAGATAAAAAGAACTATGTATTATTAAAGAAAAATATATAATTTTTATTTTATCAGACTAACATTTCTGGAAGATTTTTTAAATTACAAAAAAATTTGATAATCATTTCGTTTTAAAAATTAAAACGTTTAGCTGTTATCATATACTTTATAAGAAGTTTGAAAATTTTTGGAATTGAAAAGTTTAGTAATTATCATATGCTTATTGGAAGTTTGGAATTTTTTAATTTTTTTTTAAAGAAAAATTTTTTGTGTAGTTTTGCCGCAATTTTTTTTTTTTAAATATTGAACATTTTTGCATAGAAAAATTTACGAAAGTTTTCAACCATCATTTTTTGAAATGAGGAATTTTACGAATTTTTGAAATTGAATAGGTTAGCAATATTTATATACTTATTAAGCATTTTGAAAATTTTTGCAGTTTTTTTTTTTTTGAAATCAATAAACTTTTTCAAAACTAAATTTCTGAAAGGAAAAATTTTATGTAGAATTTTTAAATAAACAGCTTTTGTAAATAAAAATTTTTCAAAAATTATATTATTGGAAAAGTGTTAATTTTTGAAATTTTTTGAACATTTTCTTTAGATGTTTAAATTACTAGAAATTTTAAATATTAAATATTTAGGAAATTTTTGAAATTAAAAAAATAAAATCAAATTTTTATTCATTCAAATTACTCTTCCAAAATAAAAATTGTTTATGTTTATGCTTAGTGTTTTCCACTCACTATTTTTTTTTTTCAAAATCAAAAAAGGGCGGCAACATCTGCAAAGTCTGGCACACTTTATTCTTAATACACTTAACAGTAGAAAAACAACGTCAATAGTGCGAAGTTCTTATATACAATGAAGGTTTTCCGTTTCATAAATCATAAACACGAACAACAAGGCAAGATGATACTGCGTTAATAAAGAGAGAAAAGATTTTTAAATTCTCTAAGCCACATAGGTTTTAAAATTTTGAAATTGAAAAGTTAAATGTTGGGAAAATTTGCTTAGTTATTGGTGAAGGCGAAAATTGTTCAGTTAGTATATGTTATATATATGTAGATGATATAAAACTAACCTCACAATGCGTGCGCTGGCGCAAAATTAAGCTAGTAATACTTGCTGCTGCTGAAATGTCAAAGATAAATTTGTACATTTTGGCAAATTATAAACTTTAAAATAATATATTTATATTTATTATTATTAATTATAATAATTTACACAATTAATTGCATGAGTGATTTTTAAGAATAATGTTTTGAGAGTATTTTATTACTGCACTTTTATGCTAATGATGTTAGTGTGAATGTATGTGAATATGCTTAATATGAATTGCTTATTAAATAAGTTTTGCCTACAAAAATACTAAAATATATTTTTTTTTCATGCACTAATCTTAGCGGAGCACTAAAATCTCAAACTTCATCAATTTAAACATACATACAAAATTAATAATAATAAAATATATATGTTTTACCAAAAACTTCATAACGCGCGGGAAATTTAGAAATAATAATAAAAAAAAATTAAAAAAAAAATTTAAAAAAAAAAATTAAAAGAAAATAAGTTTAAAGAAAAATTTAAATTATAAATTTCCTCTTTTTTGATAAAACTACATATGCTGTACCGCAAATGCAACTACATAAAATCTGTAAATATTTAAAAAAAATATATATGTAAGTGTATTACAAAACTGTTTTAAGGAGATAACAGCGTGAAGAGTAAATAAGCAAACTTTATTGTTTAGCGCTTTAAATAAACTCAATTTCGGTTTAAAAATATTAAAAATCTTCTTTTTTTTTTTGTTCAAAAATTTTTGAAAAATTCTTTGAAAATAATTAACATTTTTGTCTACAACTGGCAAGAGATTTGGGAAAAATACATATTTGCTCCTCAAACAGTAGCTCTTAAGAGGCATTTTTTGTTAAGTACTGTATGTGTTTTTGTAAAAAAAAATGCAAATAATAGAAAATCTACTAAAAATCTGGCATATTAAGAAATAAATAAATTTAAGCAAACGTTAAAAAAAATTTTTTATATACTAAAAATAATGTTCAAGTAAAGCAAAAAATATACATAAATACAAATTTAATATATGCACTCATATTTCGTTGAACAACAAACTTATGCGAATGGCTTTTTAGCTACTTTTTTAATATGATTTTTTGTTTTTAATATATTGAACATAATTTCATTACTAATACCAAACGCTGTACAGTTTTAAGCATGAAAATGAAATACAAATACATTTTTTTGTTGTTATTGTTAAATACATATGTATGTAAGTAAGTATTCATGGTAAAAAGTGGGGCAAGCATTTACGTTATTTTTGATAGCACATATGTATGTATATATTAATATACATATGTACATACATACATATATGTATGTATACATATATATAATATAATATCGACTATAACTAAAGATTAATTCAAATTCATTAAAATCAGCTACTAAACTAAGCACTCTAGAAATGCAATACAAATACAAAATCTATATATCTATGTATATACATGTATGCATATTATTGGTATGATTGAATGAGTTTTATATGTAACTGATATAAACGTATTGATATACATATGTATGTATGTATGTACATAATACATGGTTATTTTACATGTAACATATGCCCGAAATGTGTAAGTATGTATGCAGCGTTTAACGGAAAGCCAGGAGCGTGAATAGAATTTTTTTGATGTTTTAGTCAAGGCAATGTCACTTAAGCTTTTTGTCTTGTAAAAGTAAAACGTTAATTTTTTTTTTACGCAATGAAACACAAGTGTTTAAAAATACATAAAGTTAAGCCTTTTGTATTTCACAAAAGAGATATTGTCAGCTTCATGTTCTGGAAATATTATTTCCGTACTAGCAGATGTTCGAAATTTACACTTTCGGAACGTCCAAATTGTTAGTTATTCCGTTAGCCATATTTGGCATGAAAAATCGCGGCGCATGCGCAAACGTAAAAGTAAAGATTTTTTTTTTTAAATGTTTTCTTACAAGCTTACACTTGTATAAAACTTGTTTGGGCTTAAAAATGTCTGCTTTTATGAAACTGTTCGTTAACCTTAAATGTACGTACTATGATTTTGGTAGGAAAGTAAGTGTTCGATTTGTGGTTTATGGCCCTGTTACGTTAGAGGCACCGGTCAAACTGTGTATACTTTTTTTCTTTTGTTAGGTGTCATGTACATGTATGTATGTATGTAATTAGCATGTTTACATATATGCATGTGTGTGTGTGTGTGTGTGTGTGTGTGTGTGTGTGTGTGTGTATGTGTGTGTGTGTGTGTGTGTGTGTGTGTGTGTGTGTGTGTATGTGTATGTTTGTGTTGTTCTATATATGAGTTTTTGTTCAGTGTTTTTGTTGTTGTTGACATGTTTATCTAAATTAAACGCAATCAAGTCGGTGGTTTAAAACTTCTAATTCTCATTATTTTTTAATTATTGTTATATGCATTTCTTTTTATGTGTTTTGTTTTATGCTTACAGTACTACCATTATTAATAATATAGTTGTAATACAATACATATATACGTATGTATGTTTGTTAAGATTTTTTGCTTGTAACTCGATTATAAGGTATTACCAACGGTAAGGTTGTCTTCTTTAGAGCATATTCCCTACTTGCTAATTCTTTAAATCCTCTTTTAATGTGTTGTTTGTATACTTAAAATTAAATATATATGTATGTATGTATGTAGTTATTTAAGTGTTTCAACATTTTTTTTTTGCTGCTGTGATAAACTGCGCTTTTGTTTTTGTACGCGCTGCAATAAAACGCATATTCTTTTTTTTTTTTAATTTTTTTAGTAATACTTAATTTCGTTATTGTAGTAACAATTACAAATATATCATCTTCATAAATATTTTTGCTTCTTTTTTTTATTGGAAATTGACAGAATTTAGTTTTTGAAATGCATAATTAATTCATTATGCGCTTTCAATTTATTTGCTTTTAATTCATATATGTATGTAGATATACAATGTATATTCATTGCTTTGATTCACTTAAAACTAAAATTATATATGTATGTAAGTATATATATACTCGTATATGTGAGTTTGCTTTGCTTTTGAGTTACAATATTTACGCAACTTCCTCAGCTGGTAAATATCTCCCGCATCCTCTACTCATTGGAGTTTGTCTTTTATTAATTAATTAAATAAAGAAAAAAGTTCTTTGCAAGAAATGCATTAGTTTAATTATTATTATTATTTTTTTTTTTTGTTTGTTTAATTATTTTGTTGACATTACAGCTGTCGACAGCAAAAATATAATTTCAGTTTTTTACGCTTACATCTTTTCTGTTGTAGTTGCTCTTCGAACATACATACAGCGATAAATATACTTGCATGTATGTATGTCCATAAGTACGCATTTACAGAAGAATAAATTATTTTTCTTCTCCTAAGGTAAAATATTTAGCAAAAAAAAGCGCCGACGCATAACGTCTAGGGCTGTTGCTAAATTCAATAATAATAATAATAATAAACATATTTATACACATTTTTAGTGTTTTTTTCTTTTATTTTCAATTTCGTTATTTTTCATGCAATTCAAGGTATTTAATATTGAGAACTTAAATTGTAGTACAGTAGTTAGTATCTCAATGAGTTAACAAATTTATTTCACATGCGCATATTATAATAAACATTTAAATATGCATTTATCACAAATCGTTGTTGTTGAATGTTGAAACGCATATACACTGCTAGCTACGTGTGTAGAAAGTCAATTCGTATGCTCAGTATTCATATACATATTTTGTGGTTTGGCGTTTATTAATGTGAATGATATACATACATAAATGTTAAATAATTTTAAATATTTCTGTTTTTCATTTAAGAGTATTTTTAGTATTATTTATTTTTTTTATTTTTCTGCGGCATTTAGCGCAAGCACAAATATTTCGCAACTTGCTTGTACCTTAGACATACATGCCCATGCCATATACTTGACTCCAATCAACGCCCTGAAAACTGCTCATATCCACATTGGTTAACGCATAGCTCTGATATGGATTGGCAGCAGCAGCAGCGGCAGCCGCCCCCAAATGATTGCCAGCAACTAATGCTGCTTGTTGGGCGGCAGCCGCGGCTAGCGGATGATGTGCCGCCGATGTGCCATGTGCATTCGCTGCGCCAGCTGGACCTGTAACGGCGAGCGCATTATGTGCATTCTGTGCGGCGGCGGCAGCAGCGGCAACACCTTGCGTATTGGCGGCATTGTGCTGTTGTGCTGCGGCAGCGGCGGCTGCGTGGGCAGTGTGTTGTTGTTGGGCGGCAACAGCAGCATTAGCATGCTGTTGTTGCTGATGATGAGCAGCGACATGCTGTTGTTGAGCCTGCACCAAGGCATTGGCGGCGGCAGCACTCGTCGGTATGGGATATGGTGTATATCTGTAAAATGTGTAGAAATTATGTTTATTATTATATGAATATAAACACCACATGCATTACAACTACTCACCTGACGCTGTGCAAGGCCTGTGGATATGTAAGCAATTTGCCAAAGCTAGCAGGATTGGCGGCGACCGCGGCGGCGGCAGCGGCATTTTGTACTTGGAAGGGTGATTGCGATATGAGTGCGGCTTGTTGCGCTGCGGCGGCGGCTGCGCCATTAGCAGCGTGCAATTGTAATGCTGATGGTGCCTGTAACATAGCTAATGAACCCATTGTGGTGACGCCAGCACGTGTACCAATTAATTGACCCGGTGCAGCGGGTATGGGTACACCCAATGTGCTCAACATAATGCGCTTCTGCAAGAGTTGGGCGGCGGCTGGTGTGACAGCCTCTTTCGGTTGAGCCTTCTTGCATTCGACCTTCTTATTTTTGATAGTATGGAAGTGTATCTCACAAACACGATCGACAACATCCTCATTTTCGAATGTAACAAAACCGAAACCACGATGACGTTTCGTCTGTTGGTCCATTAACATGACAGTCTCCTCAACAGTGCCAAATTGATTGAAGTAGGCTTTCACCTCTTCGGCTGAGGTATCCTGTGAGACGCCACCAACGAATATCTTCTTTGTCTTATTTGCCTGACGTGGTCGATTCTTGGGTGTGGCATGTTTGGGATCGATTTTCTTGCCATCCAATGTATGTATGGGCACCTGTAGAACTTTGTCAACACTACAGGGCTCTTGGAATGTTATGAAACCAAAACCGCGACTACGCTGTAAGTCATAAAAACGCCGAACGTCGAACGCAGAACGATTACGAAGAATAACGAGGTTGTTGGGAAAGAAATGAAAAATAAATTTTATTAGTAAAATTTGAAAATTTTGAAGTTATTGTATATAAGAAATACGTTCAAGAGCTACTAGTATACAAAAGATACATTATTTTAGAACAATTGCTGCAACTAAATTCAACTAAAATCGTACAATGGTATGCAGTACGCAAGAGTAATTTCATTTATTCAACACTAGGCAATTTTGTTTTTTTTTTCCTTTTTTCGAGTAGTATAATTACAAAATCTCCAGTATAAATGATTATACGAGAATTCTTAAGTACATAATACGTTTATTACAAAATATATATTTAGTTAGGAAAAATAAATCAACGTTTTGTACATACATATGTAGGAAAATCAATATTATTCGAAGAAGTAAGCAGAGGCAATAAAAGACTATTTTTACTTTTATGTTGGTTCTTTTTTAAATAAATCTTTAAGCTAGTATAGTAAAAGTCGAATAAGCAACTCAGTCATAACCTAGACGCACAATCTATCTATACATATATGTACATATATGAAAGTTTACGTAACAAAATATGTGTACCTAATTTGAGCGATTAGTTAACTGTAATTTTTACATTAAACAATTTTCGAGTAACATCAAATTAAAGGAAAAATTGAAAATACTTAGGAAATGTCATATAAATACATATTTCAATTCAAATACAGAAGAGCAAAACTCTTCAATCCAACTTAACCACAAATTAATTACTTTGTTTGACAGAAGGAAGGAAGAATTAATTTGATATATTCTTTCTTTTAAATCTTCCCGAATTAAATAAAAATTGACTTTTTATTTTTTATATTTTTTTATATTTTTTATGGTTTTTATATTTTTATATATTTATTATATATTTTTATAATTCTATATTATGTTTTATAATTTTTTATTACTGTTTATTATTTTGTTATATTTATTGTTATTTTTTTGTATTTTTACATTTTTTATTATATTTTTTTATATATATATTTTAATTATATTTATTTTACATTTTTTATAATTTTATATATTTTACATTTTTTTGACTGTTTATTATTTTGTTATATTCTTTATTATTTTCTTGTGTTTTTTCATTTTTTACTATTTTTTATTATACCTTTTTTATTATATATTTTTATTATATTAATTATACATTTTTTATTTTTTTAATTTTTTTTCTAGTTGTTTATTTTTTTCAAGCTATTTATTTATTTTTTGTCTGTTTATTTATTTATTTTTATTTACAGTTATTTATTTTTTTTCTTATTTTCTATTTTTTATTTTTTTTATTATTTTATTTTTTTATTTTCTTTTATTTTTTTTATTTTTTTTTTAATTTTTTTTTAATTTTTTTTTNTTTTTTAATTTTTTAATTTTTATTTTTTAATTTTTTAATTTTTATTTTTTAATTTTTTTATTTTTATTTTTTAATTTTTTTATTTTTATTTTTATTTTTTAATTTTTTTATTTTTAGTTTTTAATTTTTTTTATTTTTATTTTTTAATTTTTTTATTTTTATTTTTTTATATTTATTTTTTAATTTTTTTATTTTTATTTTTTAATTTTTTTATTTTTATTTTTTAATTTTTTTATTTTTATTTTTTAATTTTTTTATTTTTATTTTTTAATTTTTTTTTTATATTTTTTTTTATTTTTTTTAGTTATTGATTTTTTGCTAGTTTATTTTTCTTCTAGTTTATTTTTTCTAGTAATTTATTTATTTTTTTCTAGTTATTTAATAATTTTTGTCTAGTGATTTATTTATTTTCTAGTAGTAGTATTTTTTTCATTTTTTTATTATTCATTTATTTTTATATTTTTATTTTTTTCTAGTTATTTATTTATTTAAATTTTTTTATTTTTTTTTATTCTTTTTATTTTTTTACTTTTTGATTTTTATTTTTTTATTTTAATTTCTTTTATTTTTTTTAGTTTTATATTTATTTTTTAATTAATTTATTTTTATTTTTTAATTTTCATTTATTTATTTTTATTATTTATTATTTTTTTTTTTATTTTTCATTTAATTTAAATTTTTTTTATTTGTTTCATCTTTTTTACTTTTTTTTGTAAATATTTTTTGTATTATTTTTTTATTTAGTTTTATTGAAAAAAAAGTTTCAGTCAACTGAACTTATCTTTTCTTCTAACAAGCAATGTACTATGTATGAATATAGACTCGACATTTTAATCTAAATACATACATATGTACATATTATATTACACATTTTGTTCCTCTTAATTTGAGAGCTACTACGGAATTCTAAATACAAGCCAACTCTTTTTTTTTTTTTTGCAATACTAAAATTTTTTTGAGCATATTTCATATTATTTATATGTCTGTGAAATATAGAATTGGTAAATTCAGCTGAACAATCGTTCGATCGTTTCAAACATGAATATTATTACAATTTCTATGCTTCATTTTCCCAATTGCGGAAATCAATTTGCCCTTCAATAATATATTTTTAAATGCACTCTAAAAAAACTTATAGATTATTAGTCAAATACACACTGGACAAAATAATAAAAAAATATATAAATATTAAATATATGTATGTTAGACTAAGGAGTGGGAGGCAATGCCTAAAGAAACTTACTAAATATTTAATTAAACAAAAAATTAAATTCAACATATTTTTTACAAGACAAGATTTTTTTACAACAAACAAACACGCACGCACATGAGCACACGCACATCGTTTCACGAGTTCCGAAAAAAAAAAATATATGGAGGGACTTTTTCAATACTGTCTTGTCACAGATTTGCCTAAAATTTAAATTGCAACACTACAAATTAAATACTTAATACTTATAGGTGTATGTATGTATTTATAATACATTATTTGTAAGTATTTCGGCCTATAGTATATATGTATGCATATGTATAAATGCATAATCGTTCATGTACGCAGTAATTAGAAAAATTATATACGCTAATAGCTGCCTAATTTATAGTCTAATGTATAATGTAAAATATTTTCTAAGCCGTTACATACATATTTAAGTTGTAAATATAAAATTGATTACATATTCATATGTGAAACCTAAAACTCATAATCGATTGTCTACGTTTCCCTACAATATATGTCCTAAGGACTTTGCAACTAGCACCAAAATAGTTACTATCAATAGAGAAATTTCAATGGTATGCATGTAAATTACAGTAGTTTCGAACAGGTTAAACAATTTCGAGTTGAAAAATTGCATAAAAATAGCGCTAAAAACTTTCATAATGGCTTACAACTGCAACAATAAAATATTTTTTAGTATGACATATTATTATACATACATACAAAAAATAAAACAATTGTTTATACAGCAAATATATTTTACAACTAGTTCTGAATGCTTATAGGCAGACTTTTTTTTTTAGCTATTTTGTTGATAGTTTTTCAAGTTCTAGTTGAATTAACTTTTTTTTTTTGTTATATATGTATGTAGTATATACATTTGAGATATTACAACATAATTTTATCTTTTACTATTTATCTTTAACTGTTATAAATCAAGTGATATTTATTATTTTGTAATCACACTCAATGCGCTTATAACTGCTTTAAAAAATTTTTATAAATAAAATAAAATACACTATTTAAAATGTAGCCCTAATACCTAAGACGCGGCAGATATTCATAACATTTATTTTCTTAAACTTAAACTACAAAAGCACAACAAATTAAAATCACTAAGAGTTCACTAAGTGAATTAAAAAGAAGCATACCATTTAACAGATGACAAAACAAGCCAAAATATTTCAGTACCATGTACTATGTTATATAACAGTTCTGAAATGTGTATACATATTTATGTAGAAAGTTTGTAGAGTTACGTTAGAGATAAAAAAAAAAAAATATTGAGGTCGGCAGGAACAGAATTTACGTATTAAAAATGAAACGGTTTCAATTCATTTGTCTTAAATTTGCAACTGAAAAACTACATTACCGTTACGTAAAATCATCTAAAGGGCACAGGAAAGGGGTTAATATAATATTACTAATTTTTTATATAACAAATATTATCATTTTGTCTTAATTTTATAATCATTTAACTTTTAGTTACTTTTGGCTAAGGAATAAGTTTTAATTCACTAGTATGATATTTTCGAGATATTACATTTTCTTTCTTTTTTTTCAAATATTATACACATGTTTGATACATTGTACGTATATTTATATATTAAAAGTAGTTATTAAGAGAGTATAAAATCTAATTGTCTTTAAGGCTAAAACAACGTAAGAATAATGCATATCGTTAAATTAAATTTAAGCAAATATTAGATTTCAAATTAATCCGAATTTTTTGGAGAAATTTACTTCACAATCGAAAACATTTTACAAGACAATTAATATTAATTATTTATACATTAATTGATTAATGCACTTTACATATTAAAATGACGATATGCAAATAATTAGTATGTTTTAAACAAAATTTTCAAATAATTACATTACATTATTTTAGTATAATATTTTAACGACTTACTAATATGACATACTTTTACAAAAAAAAAACATTTGTACGTTTATTCGACAAAAAAATATACAATAAAATCTATGCATCGTTAAGTATAAAATAAGAAAGTATTACGTATTTTATTTTAATAATTTTTGAGGACTTCAATCAGTATTTCTTGAGCAGCTAAGTTGTTGTAAACAAATGTGGAGAGATGGAAAAACAATGTTTTATATATATGTATATGTTTCAACCTAACCTAACTTCTATATAATATCAGCATTAATACACAAAGCTAAATTGGTTAATATTTTACATTTTAGTAATTACATAACTGATTGGCACAAATTTCAATACAATTAATTTAATAATTACTTAATAGATTTTCGCAGGGGACACACGTTCAAACAAAGTGAATTGAAGTTCTTTAAAAATATATATAATTAATTCTAATTAAATATTTGTTTATTTTATACACTATGGCAACATTGTTTAATTATTATTTTTTTCTTTTTTTTTAATGAAACCTACTTACACATACATACATGTACATTTCTAGACAATTTCCATAATTATGAGCATTTGAATGGTTACAAGTTTACATACATTATTTATGACGACTGTTCTAAAGGTAAGAAAAGGTTATACTGTTGTTGTGAAATACCTATGATTCTTTTTGCAGAAGTGTACGCCAAAACTATATGCACGTTTGCGTTCAAATACGGCTTCTCTGCTTACAGTAAATATTTTAGAGCAGTAATTTCTTTTTTCATTCCTCTTCCTGCATGTTCACCAGTTAAACCAGTTTTACGTTATGTATGTATGTATGCATGTTCATATCCTTTTCGGAATCCTGCCGCACAGCTGCCATATAATGCCTGTTTCATACCATTTTTATATGCATATTGATGTATATACATATAAGTTAAAGTTGTTGTTTTACTTTTCAGTTGAAAAAGCGGTAAACAAAGTATTTTGCAGTAATTGTTTGAACGTACGGTAGGGTTTTTTTTTCTGTTAAGTAGGCCTTCCAATGCCGGCCCATTGTTCAGGTATCCGTAATTTTACCATTGATTTACAGAGCATACGTAGATACACATATATATAAGTATATATATATATATATATGTATGTATATGTACTCATAGTGGTAAATTATTTATATTTCATTTAACTACGCATATTTTGCATACTCTTTTTCTGTTATGTCCTTGTTTGCTTGTGCTTTGCTTCTGCGCCAAAGCAGTCATTTGGGCGTCTGCTGTTTTGCCTGTGTTGGGTTAATTTCACTAAATTGTGAAGCCATGATAGTATTGTTTTTTAATGAATTGAAAAAAAAATTAACTTCAACAGCGTATATATGAATTAAACTAACAGTTACACATTTTAATTTTATAATCAACTTAAATTAATCTAATCTACATACAAATAAATACAATATATGCCCTTGCATATATGTGAAGTTGAAAATTTATTTTTGATAAACTTAGCCTCATATGTGATTGTATGTATATACTTATAATATAAACATATATGTATGAATTTTTTTTTAATTAATAATTTAAGGAGTGTACTTGCCAAAAACAGATTTTTAAGAATTTTTGGAAATTTTATTCAACTATGTTTGTCTACTATAAAGAAAAATGAACTCAAAAATCGAATATGTAATACTATTTCCACGCTTCATTTCCTTCATTATATGCTAGGTGTGTACATAAGAATGTACATGTAAAAAACATAAATAACCAAACATGGATTTTGGTGCTTGTCAATGTATTTTTTTTTTAATATTAGCTGAATATGTTAACGCAATATGGAATTATATTATATTTGAAATACATATATTGCACCTTTAAAAGTGGAAATCGTAAAGGCGATGAGTATTAGAGGAAAAAAACGAAATTTCGACAATTAAATGGGAAAAACTAGTTTATGAATAAAATTGGCATATCAAGACTCACAGCACATGCCAGAAAATATATATATATATATTTTTCTCACAATAGGCAACACCCGTAGAGGTATTAGAACTGAGCCCTTCACAAGACTATATGTACCAAATGTATGTTATTCTCCTTTATATGCCTGTCTGCCTGCCATCATTTCATTATTTGACTTTGTCCTGTGCCATACAAACTTGCCCAACTACGCGCTGACGCACGTTATACCCCACTAACATAACATACGTAAACATATTTATACGAACGTACATATGTTACATTATAATCTAACCAAATTGAATTGAAACAGCTGTAATATCGCGCGCATGCGCTTTGCCGTCTGGTTTTTAACGTATAAAGCCAACGAACCAACGAACCAACCGACAATGCTTGATGCAGTGGCAGATGTTTAAAAGTCAGTTGGACGTGCTGCTTTCAATTATAGCGCGCGCTAAACGCTTACGACCAGATAAGGGCATACAAAGTTGAGCAAAGGGGCGAATGCCCTACATTCAGGCATTGAATTTTTTTTTTTTTTTTGAATTGTGACAAATGGCATTTCCTCTATATTGACATCTTGCGTATTTCGCTTTAAAGAAATATCGAAATTACTTATTATTTTTCAAATTTCCAAAATAATGCTGCCAGTCGTAAAACAGGCAAAATACCAAATAACAGTACAGCTAGAATATACAGGTAAAATTTGTATTGTATGCAGCTGCGCAGCATAGCATTCAATAACCTTTGCCAAACAACATAAGCAAATACACAAAAGATCCTTTGAAGGGAATGTAGCTTTGTTCTCATGCATGTCGTTTTCAACGCTGCACTGTAATGCGCTGAGCGTGTTCACGCTGTTTAGGTGAAATAAAAATTAAAAAGATGCAGCTGTCAGGCCAATAACGCCGACTGGTATGAATGAAACAAATGTTAGTTGAGAAGAATATGAAAGAACGTAAAAGGATATGTCAATGCAAATAAATAAAATTATATGTATATACCTATAAGGACATAGAAATCGTAAATAAAATTTGGCACGAAGAAACCAAACATTTCAACAGATATGAAGAAATAATTTGCTACACCCAAAGCCATCTCAGGCAGCCACTGAATTGTAGTAATAGTAGACATAACAAATAAAGAATTTTTTTTTGTAGTAATAAATAGATAAATATTTGAAATTCATAATAAGTAATAGCGCAGAAGGCATTTCTTCTACACAACATAGCTAAAAAGGAAACCACTACTTGCTTACCTGTGTTACGGGATCCTTCATGATTAGCACATCAGTGACAGTGCCAAAGACATTGAAGTATTCCTTTAGCTTCTCTGATGATGTTTGCCAGCTAAGACCGCCAACGAATAGTTTGCCCGGTGCTGGATCTGTAGCACCACTACCATTTACTGGCGTCGATCTACCTGATGATGAACTTTTTACAACAACACCGCCATTTGCTGTGGCATTATTACCGCCAGTTACTGCACCAGCTGAACCATTCAACAAAACCATGGCGTTTTGTTGTGCTTGTTGTTGTTGTACCTGCTGCTGCTGCTGTTGTTGTTGTTGCTGTTGTACGGAAGCGTTATTTGCTGTGGTCTGCTGTGACTGTTGTTGTTGCGCCTGTGCTGCTGCTACCGCCGCCTGTGCTTGAGCAGTCTGTTGAGCAGCATTATTCTGTTGTTGTTGCTGTTGAGCCGTTTGACTTTTCAAGACAGCAGCTGCTGTATTGGTCAAAGTGCCATTGACAGCAGCAGCATTTACAAGCACATTGTGTAGGTCACGATGTTGTTGATCAATAAGTCCAGCAGCAGCTGCAGCTGCGGCGGCAGCGGCATTATCAATGGGATTGCTGTGTGGATAAAAAAATGGTGGAGCTGTAGTTTGTTCCTCCTTAATGCGAGCCGCAGCAAGTGGTGGTAATGCAATTTGATGATGTTGTAACATGGTAACGCCTTCTTTTATGGCGTGCAATTCGTGTCTAAGCTGAATTTTGACGTAAATGAACGGAGACGCGTTTGCAAAAACGGTGAGTGTCCAACAATATTTGGACAATTAACGCGAAAGTTAGGTTAGTTAGTATACAGGTGGTAACGACCGGCGGAATGATCGAAAAATCTTCGAGTTCTAAATAAGGAAAATGTATTTTCCTTCAATTTATGTGCGTATTAGAAAAAAATATTACGTCTATTCGTTGAAATAACTTCAATACATATGTTCGGTGAATTTTCACTTTTCCATACACACGTTGTGAAAAATAAACAGCAACGCTTTCAAAACGGTTGCCCTAGGTAACTACACAAAGCCGTTGCTCAGTTATCTTGAAATTTTCTTTTTTTCTGTTTTGTTTCGAGTAATTCTCTTTATATATTTGCTAAGCAGCAGGTCTAATTTTTGATGTTATCTGAATATTTAATACAAACACAAATATATCGTAGCGTAATTTCAATAACACTTGCTCGAGTCACTAAAATTGTTTCCTTGCTTTATATACACTATGTTTCTTCATGCAAATAAATGTGTTGTAAACATGCGAATGATAATATTCAATAACAAACTATCGTAATGTCTCACTACTCTTCGTATACTTGCTATTGCTACTTCAACACTTCCTTCACTACACTTTATACTGTTTAAAATGTTTTCAACTTCAACGATTGCTTTTATACCTACTCCTCTATTCTTTGGTTATCCTTACAAACATGTTCTTACAACATGTTCGAACACTCAGGCATGAGTTTTATAAGCGCAAAGCGCAAGCGCTGAATACTGCTGAATACCCAAGAAGGATCACAGACTTGTTTGAAGTTCACAGTGTTGCCAAGCGTTTGCTTGTATTCACAAAAAAATTTTAAAAAAAAGAATTCAACGTGTTTAACACCTTTACTTTTAAAATTAAATTTTATATATTGATAATCTGGTTCGCTCATTAAAAAACCGAACTCCATTGTAGACAATACCCGTCGTAACCTTCGCACTTGGCGGCCTAATGTGTGAATTTCTTTGGACCTTACGACTCGCGTTTACGCGCGATGACGTATGGTAAGCGATTGTAAATTTTTTTGGAAACTAAATAAAATTAAAAATTTTTGAAATTTAGTTACTTTGGGAAAATGCCCTATGAAGATTATACACGAATAAAGAAGAATCAACCGCCGCCTATAAGAAAGGTGTGTCAATTTCCGAAGAAGCTATATATGAAATATCGTTGCCGGCGTGTTAAATGCTGTTAACTCTACCCCCTTCAGTTAAAATTAATTTACGGAAGGGAGAAAAAAAATCTACTGAAATTATTATTGAAAGCAAATATTTTTTTTTTCAATTATCATACTAGTTCAGATTTAAGTCTATATAGCAGAGTTAGCAGATTTTATCGCTATGGTGACGACATCATGAAGTTAACAAAAATTTTAAGAAAATAATATTTAAATAATTACAGTTTCGTACCTACAATCAAAGATATATTTGGCCAGCTGGCTTGGTTGCCGCAGTGAAAGATGGCGAATTTTGAAACTATATTTTTGAATCACAATTAAAAACTGTGAAAAACTACATTTTAGTAAAATTGTAAAATTTTAGCAAATTTAGGGACACTTGGACATTTTGGACTTTTATTAATTAATGCACGAGTATGTGAACATTTCTTATTTAAAAAAATATATATGTATATTTATTTTGATTCGAAAGAATTTCGGCAATTACTGGTATTTGAGTTATTTTTATTAGGTATTTCAGATTTTTCATTGAAAGAAATATTTACGTATGTATATATATGTAAATAAAGAAGTCTGAACATAAGGTAAAAAGCTCATTATTTTATAGTAGCTTCATTTGAAATATTTGTAAAAAGAGTAAATAGTTTTTGATTTTATAGATATTGGTATTTCATAAGTTCGTGTTGAACACTTCAATAGTTAATAGCTACGAATGAGTACGATACCCGAAATGTAATATTCAAAATTGTTTTTAATTCAGCGTTAAAATTATTAAATTCAACGTTTACATTTAATAAAAATATTATTCTGTATTTTTTTATTATCTTTCTTTTTGCTTTTTGTAATATTTTTTTTAGCTAACTCCTCTTTTTGTCATTATTGGGGGCGCAATTTTGGGCTTATGTTATGCAGTTGTGCGCAATGGTCTATCACGAGATGATGTACGGTAAGTTATATAATATAATTAAAAAAAAATTATCGATATTGGATCGACGTTATCCAATCCACTTCATTTAACTTTATTTCTATTTATTTATTTATCTAATATTGTAGACAGTCTGTCTACTAGTACTATCTGCATAAGATAATTTTATTTGCATTAACTCCTCTTCTAAATGCAGATATGAATGCCATAAAATTTTGTGCATTCAACTGCATTTGCGAATTTTATGGTGCTAATGCAGCCTTATATGACAGTTATTTATAGCTTACTATTGTGAATGGGAGAAGCTGCGTTCGCCACTGTCATATGATGAATACGTGAGGATGTTCAACAAACCCAGCATAAAATATCCCGTATGCATTATGCATTAGTATATTGCTTAGTAATTTTAGGAGGAAAATGTTAAGTTCTCGTTAAATTAGGTAATGCTTTTTTGCCGATAGAAAAGCTGCTAATCGTTTTTTATTTACTCCTTTCCAGTTTCAGCTCAAAGTTTTTATCAAATCAACTGATAACCAAATGTGCATATGTGCCGTTTGTCAGTGGTAAAAATCGAGTTTACAATTCTGGCACATAATGCAACTAAACTTAGCTAGGCTGTCTTCCCCGCCAGTGCTACCAGACTTTTTTTTTGTAGCCCAGCGACGATGCTATCGTGACGCTGGTATAATTGAGGGAGGAAATTTTTAATAAACTTAGCTCCTCTCGCAAAATTTATGCTAATCAATAATAAATTAAAATCAATTAAAAATATATTTTGCTTTCAAAACTAAATTTCACTAAAATAATCATCTAATTCAAATTTTTTTTTCCAAAGGAAATTATATGTTACATATAACCATTAGCTACCCACAGTCAATAAATGAGATCTTAACGTAGATCGGCAAAGAGATATACAAAATAACGCTAAATAGCCCTATCTGGCAACGCAGAATCACCCAAATTTATTGCTCATTCACAATGGAGTCATTTTTAATTTAACCGATATCGCATGTTGTTTCCGTCAGCTCAAACTTTTTTACTGATTATTTTGTGTTTTAGCATTTTTTTTATGTCGTGAATATAAGGATAAGGTTATTATTTTCTTAGCCCCAAAAAAGTTTCTAAAATTTTTTATTTCATTTTTTTTGTTTTTTGTTCAACAGCTTCTACTCTAGTGGCAAAATGAATTGTGAGGACATTGAAAAGTCTGGCCCAAGAAAGGTTGGTACTCCTCTTTTCATTTATGACTCAATATACATTTTTACATACATTTATTAAATTTATAAGAAATTAAAAAAAAAAAAAAATTTTTTTGCAGTTTCTGGTATTTAACCAAAAATACAAAGTACCCGAGGGACTAAAGGAAGCACTTGCTGCGATTGAAGAACCCAAGGAAGAGGAGAAACAAGACGCTAAGAAATCAAAGTAATATGATGAGTTTTTAATCGGTGAAATATGCTGGAATGTTGTACAATATATGAAATAGTAGTGTCAATAGGAATGTTAAGTGTTAATGAGCGATAAAGTGAAGCTGCCTTTGAGCAGAGAAAAAATACATATATGTTAATACATATGTATATTTAACGTAAAATTATTAAGAATTTGTATGTCTGGCATTTATTTGCTTTATTCAATTTAGTTTTTTTAATTCTATTTATAATTTAAATAATTCAATTTATTTATGTATTATGAAATAAGTATTTTTTTTTTTTACTTTTTCATTTTTCTTCGTTCAATTCACTTACGGCAAATAAATAAAATATTGATGTCTGTATGTATGTGTTAAACATATTAGCCGTTTTATTTTAATTCAGTCTAATTGGTCATGCAAAAGGTAAAAATACTTAACAATTGGCTGACGTTAAGACGATTAAAATCCCCTACATGCGAAACTAATATATGCGTAGAAACGTCATTTATAGGGTTATCCATTTCATGCTTTCAAAAGTACAAGGCTGTATTTTGACAACTGTCAAACTTAAGGCTCAAACCAAACACGTTTTGTTTTAGTTAAAAGTCGGGCATTTATGAAAATGAAACGTTTAAGTATCGCACAAGCCGCTAAAATTGTTAAAACCCACTACAAAAGTAGTGATTCAAGCGTGGCCACAGTTCCTGCTTTAAAAGAAGATTATGGTGCACAAAATCTTCCAGCTATTCAAGCAATTGATAAAATTTTAAAGAAATTTTACAGATACTTTAAGACCTGTGGAAAATCAGTTTGCGGGTTTCATCGAAAATATCGCTACTGTAACCGAAAGTGCAGCCGGAGAGCCGAATGTGTGTATTTCTCGATGCTCTCAAGAGCTGTTACCTTCATCTATCTACATCTATTGTACTACATATAAAGTCCAACTCACACAAAAACTGAAGCGAGCTGACCATTCACAACCACGTACATACATACATCGATGGGAGGCTTGAACAACAACCAGCAGACTGCGATTTTTCGAATGAAAACGTTTATTTCGACGACGAGGCACATTTCTCACTGTGGGGGTATTTTACGAAGAAAAAATGTCGCATTTGGGCCTTGAAAAATCCTTCAATAATTGGAAAGAGGTCATTGTTACACCCGGAGGTGTGATTACGACGAGACTTTCACTGAATAAATATAAATATAGTGCAAATTTGATTTCGGCAAGCTAGTGCCACATGTCACACAACACGAGCGAATGTGGCTTTACTTCCCACCCTCGTAATCTTTCGTCATGCCGATATCGATTGGCTACCGAGATCGTGCGATTTGACATCGTTGAACTTTTTCGTAGGGTTACAAGAAAGACTGTGTTAAGATGGATAAACCTTTAACTCTGGCGTACTTGAAGACCAACATTCTTTAAGTTACTCCTGGGATACCGGCCAATATGTGAAAAATCGTGATCGAAAATTTACAAAAGAAGGGATTGAAGTTTTTAAAAATTCACGAGGCGGTCATTTGAATGTTGTGTTTCACATTTAATGGCAAAATTCAAACTTTAAAATAAGGAAGGAAAAAAATTAATTTAAATGCATTTTATTTACATTTATTTTCGGAACCGCAAAAGGGATAACACTGCATGCCTGTATGCAAACGCGTATTTTCTTTGGACAATTTTGTACATAAAAACCACTAAAAGCGGCAAACTGATTTCAGTTCATGGTCTTATCAGTTTCCGGTTGCGGCTCAAACTAAACGGCTGCGCTTACGATAATCAATTGTCATCTCAAATAGAGTAAAATTTTAGTAAATCAATCAAAAATTTATTGTGATGGCTTTTGTAGGAGACAATTTTGTCTCCGTACTACCAATCAATCAGCTAAATAACGATAATTTAACGGCGCTCAATAAAACCAAATCCGAGGAACCGAAATTCATTACAATTCAGACAACTGAAAATAATAAAAAAATATCCGATTATTCAATATTTGCGGTACATAGAGCCCTACTCGGCATCTGCAAGGAAAAGGAAATACACCACATATATCTACAAAGAGACGGCAGTCTACTGTTGTTGGTTAAAAATGATCGTTTGGCAAAAAAATTTATCGACGCCAACACACTCGCCGACCTCTGTGGCATCACAGCTAAGTTACACACACGTTTGAATTGCATAAGGGGTACAATACAAGCACCGTATCTTAAAAATGTGCCGGAGCATGAAATTATGGAAGAGCTGAAGAGCTACAACGTTGTCGGTGTTCAAAAACGTCGACGCTTAACGGATGGTGCCTCAACATTTACCGGCGTAATATTGTTGACTTTCGAGCGATACTTTCTACCACCAACTATTTACATTGCTTGGATCAGCACAGTTGTGCGTCCCTACTATCCGCAGCCGTTACGTTGTAAGATTTGCCAGAGAATCGGACACACGCATACGTTTTGTAAGAGTCCACCGGCATGCTGGAATTGCAATTTGCCGCCACACATACCCGAGCCATGTTTGAGAACATTTTGTGCAAATTGTGCGGGTGCCCATGCCACTTCATCGGATCTTTGTCCAAAATATGTAAGAATCAGAGAATTGTTGAAGAAGAGAATTCAAGCTAGATGTATAATTAAATAAAGATTAATAAATGGCAAGTTGAAGAGAAATAACAATTAACAAAAACTAGTCAGCGAATTATTGAAGCTAGCCAAACAGGTCAAAATTTATATTTGTTCCATCGTCATCAGTTTAATAATCGTGTTCGCCATCTTCTGGTGTTTCACTTTCCCTGCCATTACATTAAGCAGGCTGGAGAAGTGTTCCCTCCATAAATTCAGTATACTCTGGGCATCAGTTATTACATCAGTTATTACATCACCTTGTGACCTACAAGGGTCTGCTCCGGTCTTGTAACCTTCTGAAAGTCGTCGTATCTTTTCGTATAATTTCCAAGCATTACCTTTGTTGGCCAGCTTCTCAAGCTCTTCATACTCACGCAACAGATGCGTCTTGCTTTCCTCTCAGCTTTCGGTATATATCCCACCCCGCATGTGTTATGGCCGATCGCAAGGTTGCGAAGTAGGCAGCCTGTTTTCTCTCCACTGCGACACGGCAGTCCTCATCATACCAGCTGTTTCTGCTAACTTTTCGAAAACCAATAGTTTGACTTGCAGCTGTACGTAGGGTGATTGAAATGCCATTCCGCAGTTCTCTTAAACCGAATTGCTGATGAGTGCTCCCAGAGAGCAGGATCGCGAGTCGAATGAAAAGCAATCGGCTGTTTGTTGTGATTGCAGTTTTTTGATGTCGAACCTTCCTTGTGTTTACTGACGACACGAAGATACCATCTTTGCTCACCTTGGCGTTAAGTTGCCAAGCACAATTTTCAAATCGAGCTCTCTTAAGTACGCTCCAGGCACTTAAAACAGGTATACTTGATCACATCGTCCTTCTTTTCCGTCGGGGCGTGGGCGCAAATGAGCGATATGTTGAAAAATCTCACTTTGATGCGGATTGTGGTGAGTCGTTCATCTAGCGGGGTGAATGCCAGTACTCGACGACGGATTAGAGAGAGCCACCACGACTCCAAAACCGAATTTGCTCTCCTTTATATGGCCGCTATTCGCTTCCGACCCGGCCATGGCATTTCTTAAAATGTTTACACATTTATATAGCGATCCGCAAGAGTAGGAATTAAGTATAGCCCCGCTGGATATTATACAAATTTTATTCTTCAAATTTACAAAGTCTAAAATTATCTTTTATAAAAAAATAAAACAAAATAGTAATGCCAGAAGAAGAAGCGGAGTAATAATTACGAAAAAATACTTTCACTCCGTCTTATGAATGAGTATACTGAGGTATTAACAGATTATAAGCATTTTTAGCTTATTTGTGTACATACAGCTGCGAACAAAATAATAGCATATTGAGGCCATTAAAGCTTTGAGAAACCAGTAGAGTCAACCAGTTTTTGGTTTTCTTCTACGGAAATCGCATTACAAGACGGTTAAATAGCAGCTCATAAATCAATATTATTTCTAGGCTTGCAATCGAACACTCTTTTCTAAAAACCGATCCACAAATTTGCGCTTAGAATTAAAGGGTAAAGCCACTCTACAGTTTGAAAAATAGACTCTCTTTTTAAATTTTTTTATAGGAATATGGGAAAAGGAATGTAATTTCTATTTAACCATATCATTGAACATATATCGAAGTATAAAAAAATATTCCTTAATTATAGTTTTGTTGCAAAATAATGGCGGTGATAAAGTCTATTATTTAATACATGTTTTTTTGAGAGGAGTTCACAGGAGGATCGCTTTCTTCTGGACGATGAGACCTGGAACAGAAACGCAAAATATTTTATGATCTACAAACTATGGTCTTTGGAAGTACGTATGAATTTATTTTTTAACTAATTTTTCTTGAAAGCGGCATACTTATTTTAAAAGCGAATGATTTTTGACGGCAAAAATACGCATTAAATTATTGGAAAAACATTTTAGATTTAATCGAAAAACGGCTTGGTACTTCCAAGAAAAACATTTATTTACGTAATCACCATCAAAATTTCAGAAAAATAGATGCAACGAGGTCCGAATAATCTATTCTGCCAGTTTGAGAAATGTGAAATTGTTTTCATTCTACTCAACGCACGCTCTGAGAGGCTGTAGCAAAATAAAAAGTTCAGCTATTTGAAATATATTTTTTTAGTTTAAAACCAATGGTAAGCCATTTTTTTTTCAGACCCAAAAGTATCCTGTGAATAAAAAAAAGTTGCGTTTTTAAAATCCTTTGGTGGCCTTATCTCTTAAGTAAAGCAACTGTGCAGGCCATTCCATTAAGCAAATGCGATTATCCTTTAACCGCTTCTGTGCCTTTTCTTTTCCTTGTCTGCTTCGGAACATTATCCTGCTGCACGGACCAAAATTAACGACATAATGATATTCTGTATAAATGGGGTTCCTAAGATAATTTAATGTCTCTCAAGCGCAAGGCGAACAGTCACTTCACTGGCACCCAAATTCAGCTCTTTCTTCAGCTCAATTGCTGTTTTTATTGGATCTATTCTTGACAATCTATTGAGGCGTAAAATCATTTTGGGAGACTTTTCGCACATTCGACTACGCACGTCTTTTTTTGGCTCTTATACAAGCGCACTCCTGACCATTTTTTTCGAATACCCAAGTAATCGCATAATTTCAGAGCAAGTAG